GAATATTAAATAAACGAGGATATTGATTTCGCTTTTCTTTTGTAGAAATACTCCTTTTTTCTTTGTTGAGTTTTTCTCAAAAAAATATATATGTGGTTGTATAAAAATTTTATGTGATACGAGCTAAAATCTTTTATCAATTAATTGCAAATTGATTGTTTAAATTTTAAGAAATTTATATCACATCCATGCATATTGCACTCTGTTCTCTGTAAGAAGAGAGAATGAACACAATTTATATACATAATAAATAAAAATGTGTATTCCCATATGTATATTTGATTAAATGAGAACTTTTAAGTGATTCATTTAATTATATTTATAAAGTGATATCTTAGCTTAAAATTTCATTTGTTTTCTTTTACTTTTAAAATTTCAAAAGTAATTTATTTTTTAAAAGTAACAACAAATTTATAAGTTAATAACAATTGAAATAAAACAGCCTAGCACTTTACTAACATTTAAAAGAAAAGAAAAAAAAAACAGAAAAAAATTTACTTGTAAAAGAAAAATAAAACTGACTTTAAGGATAAAAAATAAAAGTGATTGACATAATGCTTGACTCAGCATAAATTAGACTCATAAAGGAAGGAAGTGATATACATCCAGCCAGGATAAGTTTATTTCTATGAAAAGTAAGAAGTACCGCACTTAATTGCCCCAAGTATAAACACCTGCGGCAACTAAGGAAACTAAAGAAAAAAGTTAAAAATTGAAAAAGACATTGTGTCATCTTCAAACACAGCGCACTGCTACCCTCAAGCAATGATAAGTGTAACGTGAAGATAAAAACTGAAAAAATGATAAATTATTTTTGCAGTGTAAAAATTTGTTGGTGAAAATGCTACGAGTTGTCTGCTCCACTTCATATCAATCAAGAAGTATCAACAGAAAGAAGTGTGATAACTGCGATTTGTAAACAGAATAAGATAAGGAGCGAATATCTTAATTTGAGAAAAGAATTGTTGGACACATTTCAATTTTATATGTTATTATATATTTTATTAGAAAAATTTTAACTAATGTTGATTAAAAAATTTATTGTTAAAGTTGTGGACACAGAAAAGCATTATCCTTACTCGCCTTCACTGTAGTGTATTTAGTAAATTTTTTAAACAAACTCAACTAGAGGCTAATTTGACCTGGTTTTATGTGTAAAAACTTTAATAAATTTTTCCATTCTCCTTTCGATAAAATATGTTACAAGCTTCACTTGATGTCAACTGCAGATGCAGCAAAAAAAATTGACAACAATTGCGAGAAAAAGGAAATAACAATTGAGAGCAATTGCAGATATATTTGTATTGAATTTTCTAACAAATAAAAAATTGCCTGTTATTAACGAGGAAAATAAACTAAATAAATAAAAAATAAATAACATCAGATAAATAAATCAGATAAATAACCGACACATCAAACATTTGAATAGCTCAAGAATTATGTATTATTTTAACTTTTTATATCTTCACAAAATGCGGAAATTATATGGCATGACATTGCTGCCACATAATAAAAAATATATTTTTGAATATATTTATGTTAGGTTTTTTTATTTATTTGTGAAGTGTGGAATTGTTAATTAAGATATATCTATAAAAATGCCAAGTACTGACTATATATGGGTTTTAATTACCCAAAAGTAAAGTGCATCTATAAACAATGAAAAACTGGCAAGCAAGATAGTTGAGTAAGTAAATACAATAAATTCAGTAAATCGCATAAACAAAGATTGTGAACAATAATTTCTTTTTATTCATATATATGTTGTAGTTTACTTATATACAGATACTTTAAATCAAGCAAAAACTTTTTTAAACTATATAGAGATTAACAGTAAAAATTAAAAAATATTTGCACATTTTTCTGCTTCCCAAATGGTAATATCATATTATATATGGTATAGCTGAAGACTATTTTTTATTAATTTATCTTTATTTCATTTTATGAATATAAGCATATATACACTCATCAGTCAATGATTTGCCACAAATACGAGTCCGATTAAGAGCAGATTTAGGCCGATCATTAAAAAATAACTTTCTATCAGTATATAAGGTGAAGCTCAAGTGAAGAGGATCCTATAAAAAAAGGTATTTTCAGTATGGTTATCTATTGGTAATGTATTGGCCATTTCATGAAACGTTATGTTAAATCATTTACTAGTGAATGTCATTCTTTAAGGATATTTGTGCACGCTTTTAAAATGAATATTACGTCCTTCCTTTTATTTTCAAATGCAAAAAGTAAAAGTTGTTTGATGCTAAATCAGGTAGTGATTAACAATTAAAGTCCGACTTTAAGTGAAAATCTCTATCACAAAAATCTCTATCGATGGATGAAAGTAAGTCTTATCGACTTTGGAGTAAAACTTGAATTTATTTTTGATAAGGTGAAGTATAATTTTTTTTTATATAAAAAAAACGCTAAGTAATAGTATAAGCTTTTTCTCATATTTTTTATTTTTCGGAAAAAGTTGATTGCTACGTTTATGCGATTCTTTAAATCGATATCAAGACACTTAAAAGAAATTTTAAGACTAGCACGTAATTTACGTACGGGAATTTAAAAATACAAAAGTCTTTAATTAGTAGGAAATAAACGTTGAAGGATTTTGGTGTCATAACATAGCATTTAAGGACTTATGACCTAAGTTTGTATTTAGGCGAGATTTTTCATCTAAAATAGGCATTCATTTAGGTTTTGTTTCAATTCCAAGCCGTAAGGTTTTGAAAAGCTTATCAATTGTTTCAGAAAACTATTATCGATAGTGCCTTTTACGGGTCATACCATAGCACTAGTAAACAACGTATAAACATATAGAATACGCGGAAGTTCTGTTAGGTTTTTTTATTAAGATAACTCATGAGATATAATATATAATGAATAAAGTTCTAACAACATCAACAAATATTTAGTTTACAAAATTGCTCCCAAAATATTGTTAAAATCATTTGCAATTTTTTTAAAAACTTTATTCTATGTCAGTTTTCAAAAATTTGTTTAGTTTTTCGGTTTTTATTTTCTTAACTTAAGAATTCATCACGAATTTTTGTTAAATCGTTGAAATGGAAAATCGATAAACATTTTCACTGTTAAGCAAACATCAGAAATTTAAGACTGCAATATGGCAATACGAGTATTGCAATATTGCAGTACCAA